ATAGATAAACAAATGTTGCTACGGCTTCTGCCCAAAATTGGTTTGGAAGTCTCCTTGCTTGTAACATACTTCTTGCCATCTCCACAATAGTTCGATTTTTTCGTTCAGCGATTCCATTTTGTTCTGGAGTGTAGGAAACTGTTAATTCCCTTTGGATGCCCTCTTCTTCACAAAACAGATTGAACTCTTTAGATATGAACTCGCCACCTCTATCTGTTCGAAGAACTTTAATGTGACAGTCACTTTGATTCTCTACCATAGCTTTAAAATCTGGAACTTCTGAAAAGTTTCTGACTTATGTTGTAGGAAGTAAACCCAGCTCATGCGACTATAATCATCAATGAATAGTAAAAAATATATACTCCCACCCAAGGACTTCGTTTGCATTGGCCCACATAAATCAGCATGAATTAGTTCTAGACAATGTGAAGCTCTTCTAGCTTTTCCAATAGGAAAGGACTTCCTAGTCTGCTTGCCATAAATGCATCCTTCACATAAATTAGTTGAGTCAATTCTTGGTAATCCGAAAACCATACCTTTATTCATGAGTATTTTTCAGGCCGTTCATATGAAGATGTCCATATCTGAGATGCCATAATGTTGAGTCATCTTTCGTGCTAGCAGCAAGAGCAAAATCCTTCATGTTAGAAATATCAAGTGGAAACATCTTATTTGAAGTCATGCCAATTTGAACTTTATGGCCTGATTTTTTATGTGTAATGACACATGTGTTGTATCAAATAGAATTGAATGTCCTCTAGCCATCAATTGTCCAACACTCAATAAATTATACCCTAAATTAGGTACAAATTGAACATTATCTAATTGTTTTATCTTACCATGACTGGTTTCGACTTTCACTGTATCTTTTCCCTCAACTTGCATCTCTTTTGTGTTTCCAAGTTGCACCTTAATTTTTTGCGTCTCATCAAGCTCTTTGAATAAAGATTTGGTGTCTGTCATATAGTTCGAGCATCCACTATCAACAAACCATAAGTCACCCTTTTTTGGATTAGTATCTATGCACGCCATAAGCAGCTTTTCTTCTTCTTCTTCATTCTCTACTGCAAAATTCATTCGTTGATTTTTATACCAACAATCAGATTTTGTGTGCCCATACCTTCTGCAATGGTAACATTGTATGACATTCCTTTGTTCATTGAATTGTCTCTGTCCATCACTTCTCCATCTACCCCTGTTATCACGACCACCATGGAAGCTGCGAAATCCTCCTCTTCCATGACTTCTACCTGCTAAATGAATATTTTCTCTTTCGTTGTTGGTTGTCTCCTTCACTTGTAGTGCCTTTTCTTCGTTCCTTTCTGATGCTCTATTGATTCTTGCCTCATGGGCCTTAAGCGAGCCCATCAATTCATCAACGGAGAGTATGGATAAATCCTTAGCTTCTTCTATGGCAGCCACCACATGGTCAAACTTTGGAGTCAAGCTTCTCAACACCTTTGCAACAATTGTTTCGTTTGAAATTTTCTCTCCATAGGTACGCATCTGACTGACTATTGCCATTGCTCTTGACAAAAAATCAGCAATTGATTCGTCATTCGTCATGAGTAGAGTTTCAAAATCACTTCTTAGAGATTGCAATTTCACTATCATGACCTTTAAATCTCCTAAAAACTCCTTCTGTAGAATTGACCATGCCTGCTTTGATGTGGTTGATGCTGCAATTTGTGAGAAGATAGTCTCATGAACTGCTAGATGAATAATAAATAAAGCCTTGGCATCGTTTTTCTTGGTTTCTTTTAGTCTCTCCTTTTCTTCTATTGTGGGTTCTAATGCATTAACAAACCCGTCCTCCACCAAGTCTCATAGCTCCTGCGATCTGAGCAAGGTCTTCATCTTGATGCTCCACCACTCATATTTCTCACCATTAAAGATTAGTAACAACGGTGCAGAGGAAGAAAAGTCAGCTACTGTCATTTTTTGTTTTGTGAAAGAAAATAATCACTCGCCCTCGTGTCGAACGAACTTGGCTCTGATACCAAAATTGTTGGAAAAAAGGATAGTGAAAGAGATAAGAATAGATATAATAGATAGAATAGATGAATGGTGCAGTGCTTTATTATTGTCTACTGACTTAATGCTTAGAGGGTTACACAATTCCTGTATTTATAGTTTATACACTGGACCAGTAATAGTAAATCATCGAAATCTAGAAAAATTCAAATCTACTAACAATCTCTTCAAATCTTCTAAAATCTTGGTAGTTTGAATATTTGATCATATCTCAACAAGTCACATAGTGTGGAGAACGATCGACGATTCCAAGCACACAAACGGTGAGCCTGATCGTGGTTTATGATGTTTCCACTATGCTACTCGTCGTTGGGAGAACTTGGGTTTTATGAAGAATTTGTGATGTTGAAACTCAATATTGTAGGTGCATATAAGTGCTTCTGGCGTCACGTTGGCTCGATCTCAAGTGGAGAAACGTCAAAATCAGGCAAAAAATGAGGGAGTCAGACGAGGAAGAAGAGATCCACGATTTGAACGTTGGGTCAGATCTAGATCAGATACACACTAACTCGTCATGCCCAAGCCTTGAAGTATTGGCGGCCCACAAACCTAGTCTTGACGTAATAAGAGCGGCCCAATACAAGAATCGGCTCGACCAACGGGAGTCAATAAGCATGACAACCACGCAACCCGTGTACTCGATCTGAACTGCTCCAGTGACATGAGCTTTCTCCCTCCCATGTGGTGGACGTGTTGTGCAGGTAACATGACAACGGTTCGTGCACGACTTCGTCGAGCTGACCCCTTTGTGCGCAGCTCCAACGGCTCGGCTCCGCTCCTGACTTAGCTTGGCGGTTTATTTGGCACAGTATATAGTGTTTGATACTATTTCTTATGTTATTTACCATTTAGGAGCTGTTTTTATTTCATTGGAGGCGTTTAAGGTCAGTCTAACCTCATTTGCTAAAATTAAGTTTTTGAGCTAGAAATTTGAATTAAGAGATACTCTTAATTGAGTATATTCATGTCATGTCTTGATATGATATCGTGGGGAATATAGGTTAGAGTGAACGATAAGGAGAGCCTCAAGTCAGCTTCAGGAATACTGAGTGACTTTGGTTCAGACCAACCAAGTGACTCTATTATCGGTTTGGTTGGAAGAATTGCTTTATGTATGATGACATGTGCCCGGTGTCACGGTCATGCTCGTCCAGGGCGTGTTGTCCATGGCAGCATGCCCATGGCAAGCCAAACCCTTGTCATGTCTTTTCATTCTAGTGTTTTTACTTTTGTAGTTCTAGGGCGTATGACGCCTAAAAAATATCATGTCTAGGCCTGCCAGACATGAAATGCCTCAGAATGTACTATAGGGGGATATGACTAGTTGTCAACTTCTCCCTACCCAAGGTTATATACGCTAAGCCGTTGTTATCTCTCTCTTGCTTGCTTATATAACGTCTCTTTCAAAAATCTCTTTCTAAAATTTCTCTCTACCCTCATTTTCTAAAACCTTCTTTTAAAATCGAGGCTAGAGGCTCGATCATACGTCGCTTGGCCGTAGGCGACGCAAGAACAAATTGGCTTAGCTCACTTGTAGTTGGAAAGTGAGTGGTGCACAATTGCTAGTTTGTGCCTTCAAAAGTGCGATTGTGTCAAGTGGTATCAGAGCTTTGTTAGCTCCATGACACGGTAAAAACCGAAACCATGTCAGCGACAAAGTCGACACCCAAAGCACAAGCCAACCGGCTTACGATAATAAAGGAGGAAATGTTGTTCCTCAAAGAAGTCCCTGATACCCTCCGCTTCTTGGAAGCACGGGTGACCAAATTGAGTGAGAAAGTTGTAGAAATCGACCCAATAGGCAACCGCCTGGATGGGTTGTCAATCGCAGAATTGATCTTTCGAGTGACCTCGCTCGAAGAAAGAGTTGCTCCTACGAGCAGCCCAAAATCGTCTGGCATTCCGAATAGCTCTGTCGCGCACAAGGAGGGACGTGGCGAAGAGTTCAATGTGATGCAAAATACAATGATGAGCTTGTTCAATGGATTAGCTCATGAATTCAGAACAACAATCGACGATATCCAAGAAAGGATGACCTCCATGGGCATTCGAATTGAAGTGACCATGAAAGCCGTGGAGAACGTCACGGCTGGGCAAACTAATGCAGGGTCCAACAAACTAAGATACACAAATCCTAGAGCCTTCAAAGGGAATCAGGACGCCAAAGAGTTGGAAAACTTCATCTTTGATGTCGAATAGTACTTCAAAGCCACAACGGCTTGTACCGACGACAAGAAGGTGACCGTAGCCTCGATGTATCTCATAGACGACGCCAAACTGTGGTGGTGTACGAAGGTGCAAGACATCGAGGATGAATTGTGCACCATTGACTCGTGGGAGGACGTCAAGAAAGAGTTGAGAGACCAATTCCTCCCCGAAAACGCAGGACATATAACAATAGAAAAACAGTAGCCCTGAAACATACTGAAGGCATACGAGACTATGTCAGACAGTTCTCAACCCTGATGTTAGATATCAGGGGCACATTAGAGAAGGACAAGGTGTTATTCTTTATAAATGGGTTACAGCCGTGGGCCAAAGCAAAGCTACACGAGAACAAGGTCCAAACCCTAACTGTCGCAATGGCCTATGCCGAGAGACTCCTAGACTATGGGAACGAAGTGGGATCCCAAAGAAGAATGACACCAGCCCCAAACACTGGGGGCAAGACATACAAGCCAACAGGTCATTGAAAAGGAAGCCCCAACAAACCGAATGGAGGTAACGACAGTCCAAGCGAATGGACGGATAGACCTCCTCAAAACAACTAAGCGGGGACATCTCGAGGACCTTACCATCAAAGGAACCACCCGACGACGCCTTTACAATGCATGTTGTGTAAAGGTCCCCACAAAGTATCTTACTGTTCTCATCGGGCCTCTCTCATTGCGCTCCAAGTTCAAGAGAGCAATGACGCAAGGGTCGAGACTATGCTAGACAAGAAGGAAGATCAAGACAATCCCTGAATGGGCGTGCTTAAATTCTTGTCAGCCCTCCAACGGAAGGTCGAACCGAAGGAGATAGTAGAGAAAGGGCTCATGTTCGTAGATGCGACAATAAATTCTCGGCCGAGCAGGAGCACTCTGATAGATTCAGGAGCGACCCACAACTTCATCGCCAATCAAGAAGCCCGAAGATTGGGACTCACCATAGGAAAGGACTTGAGGAAAATGAAAGATGTCAACTCTGAGGCCTTGCCTATTGTGGGAGTTTCCAAAAGAGTCCCCTTCAAAATAGGGGATTGGACAGGAGAGCTAGATCTTGTCGTAGCTCGCATGGACGGCTTTGACGTGGTACTTGGGATGGAGTTCCTCTTAGAACATAAAGTTATCCCAATGCAGCTGGCAAAATGCTTGATGATCACCGACCGCAACCCCACAGTAATACCTGCAAGCATCAAGCAACTAGGTTATCTTTGAATGATCTTGGCCATACAATTGAAAAGGGGACTCACACGAGAGGAACCTACATTTATGACCATACCACTGATGGAAGTAGCGACCACTGAAGAAACTGTCTCAATTGAAATCAAGGAGGTACTAAACAGCTATGTTGACATAATGCCAGAGAGCTTACCCCAAACATTACCACCTCATCGAGGCATTGATCACGAAATCGAACTCATCCCCGGGGTTAAACCGCCAGCGAAGAACGCATATCGGATGGCTCCGCCTAAGCTAGCCGAATTATGGAAGCAACTGGATGAGTTGCTGAAGACGGGATTCATCCGCCCGACAAACGCACCCTAAAGAGCCCCCGTACTATTCCAGAAGAAGAAGGATGGGACGTTGCATCTATGCATAGACTATAGAGCCTTAAACAAGGTGACGGTATGCAACAAATATCCACTGCCAATAATATCCGACTTGTTCGACCAACTTCATGGGGCCAAGTACGTATTGCCGAAGGGGACGAGCCCAAGATGACGTGTGTAACAAGATATGGGGCCTTCGAATTCCTAGTAATGCCCTTTGGCTTGACAAACGCCCCAGCTACTTTCTGCACGTTGATGAACCAAGTTTTCTACGAATACTTGGATCAGTTCGTCATAGTATACCTCGACGACATAGTGGTTTATAGCACAACCCTAGAGGAACATAAAGTGCACTTGAAGCTGGTGTTCGACAAGCTACGACAGAACCAACTGTATGTCAAGAAAGAGAAATGTGCATTCGCACAAACATGCATCAACTTCCTTGGACATGTCGTCAAATGTGGACAGATTAGTATGGATAGCGATAAGATAAAAGCTATCCAAGAATGGAAGGTTCCTACTTCCATATCCAATGGGCGGTCCTTCTTAGGATTAGCCAACTACTATAGGCGGTTCGTCGAAGGATTTTCACGACGAGCCGCCTCATTGACAAAGCTGTTGAAGAAAGACCACCCTTGGTCGTGGTCAAATGATTGTCAAATGACTTTTGAAGATCTGAAAACAACCATGACGAGGGGTCCTATCCTCGGATTGGTAGATGTTACAAAGCCATTTGAAATAGAAATAGATGCTTCCGACTTTGCCCTAGGTGGGGTCCTTATTCAGGAAGGCCACCCCATCGCTTACGAAAGTCGAAAGCTCAATGACGCTGAACGTAGATACACTGTCTCCGAGAAAGAAATGCTGGTTGTAGTCCATTGCCTTCGAGTCTAGAGACAGTATCTCTTGGGATCACAGTTCGTAGTGAAGATGGATAACAGCGCCACTTGCCACTTCTTTGATCAACCAAAATTGACGGCAAAACAAGCCCGGTGGCAGGAGTCGTTGGCCGAATTCGACTTCAAGTTCGAACACAAAGCAGGAAAGAGTAATCAAGCAACCGACGCATTTAGTTGGAAGGGAGAACATGCGACCCTGTGCATGTTAGCCCATATTCACTCAAGTAAGATCGATGGATCGATGCGCAACATCATCAAGGAACATTTACACAAAGACCCATCGGCCAAAGCCGTCGTCGAACTAGCTAAAGCTGGGAAAACATGACAGTTTTGGGTTGAGAGAGACCTTCTGATGACAAAAGGAAACAAATTGTATGTCCCAAGAAAGGGAGAACTGAGGAAAAAGCTCATTCAGGAATGTCATGATACCTTATGGGCCGGACACCCTGGGTGGCAAAGAACATACGCCCTAATAAAAAAGGGGGTACTTCTGGCCAAACATGCAAGACGACATCATGCAATACACCAAGACGTGCCTCATCTGTCAACAGAACAAAGTCGAGAAAGCCAAAGTCTCAGGACTCTTGGAACCTCTACCTGTGCTGACAAGACCCTGGGAAAGTGTATCTCTGGACTTCATAACACACCTCCCAAAGGTCGGGGAATATGACACTATCTTGGTTATCGTAGACCAATTCTCAAAATATGCGACGTTCATCCCCACTCCCAAATTATGCTCAGCCGAACTCACAACCCAACTATTTTTCAAACACATTGTAAAGTTATGGGGCATTCTGTCGAGCATCATCAATGATAGGGATGGCAGATTCATTGGGACATTCTGGACTGAGTTATTTGCCTTCTTGAGAACAACCTTAAACATCTCCTCGAGTTATCACCCTCAAACCGATGGACAGACAAAATGGTTCAATTGCTTGCTCGAAGAATACTTACGTCACTTCGTCGACGCTCGCTAGAAGAACTGGATACAACTATTAGATGTCACCCAATTTTTCTTCAATTGTCAAACCAGCTCGTCTACGGGAAAGAGTCCCTTCGAAATTGTAAGTGGACGACAACCGGTCTTACCCCATATTATTGATCATCCTTATGTAGGGAAAAACCTTCAAGCTCACAACTTCACAAGAGAATGGAAGCAGACAACAGATATAGCCCGGCATATTTAGAGAAGGCTTCCAAGCATATGAAAAAATGGGTGGACAAGAAGCGTCATCCCCTTCAATTCCAAGCAGGAGATCAAGTTCTCATCAAGCTGAAACTAGAATAGATCAAATTTCGCAGCCGAAAGGACCAGAGACTAGTTCGAAAATATGAAGTCCCGGTTGAAGTCCTTAAAAAGATTGAGACTAGCTCCTACCGAGTTGCACTACCTGCATGGATGAAAATCCACCTAGTAATTCATGTGAGCAACTTGAAGCCATACCACCCTGACCCAGACGATGACCAACGAAATGCAATCACGAGACCGAGCATTGATCTGAGGCAAAAAAAAAAAAAACAAAAGAAGTAGAGGAGATCCTCGCCGACAGGGTTAGGAAGATAGGAAGACCTGTATGGACGATTCGTGAATTCCTTGTCAAATGGAAGAATCTCCCTACTGAGGAAACCAGCTGGGAACGCGCCGAAGATCTGAACTCCGCCACCACCCACATCGCAAGGTTTGAAAGTAGTCGGTTGACAGGGACGTCAACCAATTAGGTGGGGGAGGATGTCACGGTCATGCTCGTCTAGGGCATGTTGCCCATGGCCGCATGCCCATGGCAAGCCAAACCCTTGTCATGTCTTTTCATTCTAGTGTTTTTACTTTTGTAGTTCTAGGGAGTATGACGCCTCAAAAATATCATGTCTAGGCCTGCCAGACATGAAATGCCTCAGAATGTACTATAGATGAATATGACTAGTTGTCAACTTCTCCCTACTCAAGGTTATATATGTTAAGCCGTTGTTATCTCTCTCTTGCTTGCTTATATAACGTCTCTTTCAAAAATCTATATTTCTAAAATCTCTCTCTACCCTCATTTTCTAAAACCTTCTTGTAAAACCGAGGCTAGAGGCTCGATCATACGTCGCTTGGCCGTAGGCGATGCAAGAACAAATTGGCTTAGCTCACTTGTCGTTGGAAAGTGAGTGCCACACAATCGCTAGTCCGCTGCCTTCAAAAGTGCGATTATGTCACCCGGTGGCCTACATATGTCATACGTGTGATATGCTTTGATATGTGGTGCTATGCTATGTGTCTTTATATGATATGCCAAACAATATTATGATAAAAAGGAAATATCATGTTATGCTTAAAGTGTCATGATGTACTATGATATGTTATGTTAGGCAATGATATTCTATGAACATGTCATGCTATGTTTTTAAAATATATTAAAGGAATGTTTCCATGGTTAACAAACATGTCATGCATGTAGTATCAGCTCTATTTCAGTAGAAAAAATAGGGTCTTTAAAGATGGAATCAGTGGAATCAGAGGTCTAGGTTATAGATTTTGTAGACTAGTCTACTAGGTAAACTTAACATGTTCTATGGTCCCACCACTGATGCTCCGTCGTCATCAGGATGTCATGTGTAAGATAACAAAAAGTTATATTGAATGTCATTGTTAAATGCATTGCTCTTGACGAGTTATTGTCAAATGTACTCGTCAAATGCATTATTGATTGACGGTGCCTCCATTAACCGTGCTATTGTAGATTGAGTTCCATGTTTATTATGATATAATGTACGACATGTTTTTGTATTAAGAGAAGTATACTTAAGAATAAATATGCATTGGTTATAGAATCATGCCATCTAGCGAACATGGGGGAGGACATAGAAGAAAGGGATGACCTCTTGTTAGAGGACGAGGTAGAGGTTGAGGGAGTCCAACTCGTGAAAGATCATTAGACATTGGAACAACCAAAATATTTTAGTATTTTAGAATTTTTTTCTTTTTATAAAACTCAGATATTTAAAATCTTTTACATTCTTTCAAACTTTCACCATCTAACAAAACAATGAAAAAAATACAAGTAGAACGAATCGAACCCACACTTGTGTAATTATAACATGCCCAATAAATAAGCATTCTGAGAAGCCCAAAAATATACAAATATTCCTTTAAAAATTTGTTCTCTAACAATAAACCAAAAAAATTGTTGGGACCAGAACTCGAATGGAATCTATACTAACTAACCCTATTCAACTTAAAATATCATGTAACCCAATTTTTATAATTTAGATTGAATTGGTTCAATGTACATCCGTGAACCGATAATTCATAGAGACCAAAATGGTAATTTAACCTAAAACAAAACACCTATCATTACAAATGAATTTGGTTCCTTTGTCATGAATATTATTACTAGGTTAATGTAGTTCCTTTGTCATGAATATTTTACCACGAATAATTCAGTTAAAAGTTTATATATATATATATTTCTTTTTGTATGAGTCCAGCCCATGAACACCACTAATGTTGTTTGGGCTGGTTTTATTGGTCGGCCTCTATTCCTACATATTGTTAATGTTGGAGCATATTATTGGTCGGCCAGTGTTAAGAGCATGCAACTAAGTTACGAATTTCTTCCGATCTCCATCATTGGTTCATTGACAGTGCTGTCATGTCATCACTTTAAACGTACAACGATTATAATTAACGCAACTGTATGCATTGCATTTGTAGCATAACAGCCTTAGATAAATTGCTTCTGAAAGCGATGGATTATCATCCAACTTTGAAATACGCTCATCATTTAGTGCTTACAATCATCTCTCTTTTTCTATGCTTAATTCTTCTTTCCGGATTAGTCTATGATTTTGACTATATAATCATCAACAAAACTCACATCAACTTAGCGTTTTGTTTTGGTCTATCAGGTTTTTCCCTTTTCAAATCAGCCACAAGCTGTTAGAAACAGCATCAGTCGGTGAATCCTATGATATACTTGTTCCTACCATCTAAGATCACGTATTTACAAGATTTTTAATGGGTTGGAGATTCAATCGTTGCATCTTTTTGAAGTATAATGACTAAATTGTGTTAGATTCGGGAACTTAATATTACTTACGAGTTCAGTTTATTAGG